CAGTTTACTCTTATCCAACCATTTATAAATTAGTACGATGTTGCATAAACTAGTAATTTAGTGCAAGTGGTATATTCTCTTTACAGGAATCAAGATTATATATATGGTGAATAATTAATTTATAATATCACTTTAATAATAATAATTGGCATGGTGTGCCGTGTATGTATATGCCAAATATGATTATAATGAAATACTTGTCATTGGTCATTTTTGCCTTAAAAGATAGAGAATAGAGTTTGCTCTTGATGTGGACCTTAACTACTTCACTAAAGACATGTATTCGAGCTAAAACATTTTTCAACCTAAATCCTAATCCATTTGTAAGTGTACGCAACTGTGTTTGGATATTAGCTTGGCTTACATGTGTTTTTTTTTTTTTTTTTTTTTAAGACTTGTTTTGGATTATTAGCTTGGATTACATGTGTTTTTTTTTTTTTTTTTTGTAAAACACCAGGACCGTCTGATCCAACTCGGAGCGTTAATCACAGTTAAGGCTCAATACTACATCTTGTTTTTTTTTTTTTTTTTTTTGTAAAACACAGGACCGTCTGATCCAACTCGGAGCTTAATCACAGTTAAGGCTCATCACCACATCTTGTAGGTGCGTTTAGTGAGATCGCATCCGAGAACTCTTCCCACATGCCCAGTCTGCATTGTCAACTGAGCCACAACCTGTAGATTTAGCTTACATGTTTTTAGTGAACTATAAAGAAAAAAATAATCCATTAATAATAATATCAAGTATTACAAATACTTATATAGCTCGTATATAGAACTACTATCAACAGTTAATAGAGTTAACTAATATTTTAACAAATTAAAAGAATTTATATTCCTTTGAATAAGAGAACTAAAATTAAAAGATATAGTATTAAATTTTTCTCTTGAAAATGATCTTGACAAAAGATATAAATCTCTATATTAGCAATTAGTTCATTAATTGATTTGGACGACAAAATAATAACATTTTTTTTAGATATTCTATACTTGGATTGTTTTTCCAAGAAATTGCAACATATGAAAACATATAAGTTTCTGTCGCTGTGTGTTAATAGTATCAATGGAGGAACATGTCGTACTATAAGTCTCCATCGATAAAAGATCCTCCACCCTTGTAAATCAAGATCTAACTAATCAAATAAGATCAAATATCATACTTTTATTTACATCATAAAGAATGGACAAAAAAACTCTAAATATGAAAATAAAGTAACAATAACAAAATAAAGAAAAACATATATATTGTGGGGAAAACAAGGATGAATTTATTAAAGTGAATAAAAGATTAAAAACGAAAAAGATAATAGAGTATGAAGTGAAAGAAATAATAGAAGGTAGAGGCTTACTGTGACATCCCAGGTTTGGGGCATAACACCTTAGGCGAATCTCACATCGGCTACGCACAAAGTGAAAGTCCTATACATAAAGGGTGGCAACCTTGAACATGGTAGACGTGTTTTGGGCTGGCAGAGCGGAGGTTTTCCCTGGCCCAAGAATAAAACCGTGAGGGTTCAGGCCAGGTTTGGCACCCAAAGCAGACAATATCTACCATGGGCTGGGCTGTTACACTTACGATGACGATAACTTTAAACTAAAATTAAGGTTATGACTAGAGAATGTTGAGGGTTATAACTAAGTATATATATTATACATTTAAAAAATTACTAATAAAATTGAGGGGATTTTGATAAAAATTTGCTCTTGTAAACAATATTTACAAATATAAAGTTTGTCTTGTTATGGAGAGAGAATGTTACATTAAAACCATCAATTCAATTGATGGTTTCATATAATAAAAAAAAATAATTTGTACTAACTACTAGTTAGCAAAAAGTAATCAGAAAAATAAATAATAATTTTATTTTGAATTGATGGTTTTAATCGGAAAATTAAGTGGTGGTTTTCTTAAAAAAATTATAAGTTATCAAAATGTTTTTTTCACTGTGATACAATTGATTTGATGGTTTTAGTGCAAATATAGTTGTGACTACTAGAAAGAAAAAAAGTATATAAGAGAATAATGTTTTGTTAAGAATCTATCAACTATATCATTCTTTACTACTGGTTTCTGAACACAAACCTAAATTAAGGTATCATTAACCAAAATCATAATAATTAAAAATACTTATCGAAGTTTATTACTATTGATTTATGAACACAATCCAAATTAAGGTATCATTGACCAATGTTACAATAAATGAAGGTATTTTATTGCAAATAAATATATTTTTAGCAACAATTTTCTTTAGTTTGTATAGATTAATTTTTTTTATTTTATCATTTTAAAAGTAATTATTATCAAATTATATTCTTTTTATTTTCGTATGCCTAAAATATGCTATCTGACATTACTGGTATTTAAATTTACTAAAAAACATAATTAAATATATGCAAATATATAAATAAATGTAATAGTCATTTTAGTTATAAATTAAAACAAAAAAGTTTTAACGACGTCTAATTAAAATGGAACTTAGGTGGCAAGGAAACGGTAACGTGTCACATTATAACAGTGCAACTAAGCGGGTCAATTTCCGCGGCAGATACGCGTAACATGAGTGGACGCGTAACTGCAAACGGTGGCGCGCCTTTTCATGCAATGTCTTTTGATGGGCCCTATCACCGATTGCGCGCGCGCGCGTAAATACTAGACTTTTTATTCTCTGTGTCACTCCACATCACCTCCCATATGAACCCTATAACACTCATCTTTCCTTAAAAAATAAAAAATAGAATAAATTTTGTTCTTATTAATATGAAGAGAGAAGGTTTGGAGGAAGTTTTTTTTAATTTCAAGAGTTTTGTTTAATTTAGTAAATTTTGAATTGTAAGTATAATTATTTTTATTATTAGACTTTTAATAAATAAAAAAATAAACTCAATTTTACGAACACGTGGTTAAATATATTAAAAATATTTTCTTCCTTCTTAAATAACTGTAACATTTAAGAAAGTATTATATTTTCTCATTTTACAAAATAATAAATTATTCTTTTCATTTTTACTTTTGTAGATGATCATTGAATGATATTACTCAAATAATAAATTAAGGTACTATAATTTACTCAATTATTTATTATGATTTAAATAAATTATATAATTTTCTTAAGATGGATAAAATATCCAAATCTAATAAATATTTAGAAACGGATAATATATTATATGATTCAAAATCCAAAGTTGCATACCTAAATGTAATTTTGCCAAATTTGGAAAGTTGTATGATAAAAAAAATCATATATCATAATTTTATTTCATTTTAGAAGAAAATAATTATTAAAATTGAAAACAAAGACCTTTTATATTTCTAGTCGCGAAAAAATTAAATTAAAATTGTTTTAACTATAATAATTACACCCTCTGTTTCATTTTATTTATATGATTTGACAAAATATGCATATTAAAATTTTAATCAACAAAAGTTATTTTACCTTTTTTTACCTTTACTAACTTATTAAGATACTAAAAACTATTTATTCAATAAATAATTATAAATATTATTATAAAAAAATAATTATTAGTATATCTAAATTTAGAAACTTTGTAAATATTTTCAGACATAAAAAAACAAGCAAACAAAATGCAACGCACGAAGTATTATATATTTTTTATTTATATAATATTCAAATAGGCATATTTTAGAGGGAGCAGTCCATTTGAATTATTAAAATATGAACTCAAATTATGAAATAAAAATAAAATATTTTTTTGTGGTAACAAATAAAGTAAAAAAAATTGACATGGTTTATACTTTATTATTTGATTAATAAATAGTAATAAACAAAGTTGAAAGTAAAGCATATGACAAGGAACAGCGACCATGGGATTTGGATCTTGATAAGAGAGTCATCATCAAATCAAATCAAATCAAATCACAAACTTTTGTCTGGGCCCCAGTATCTCAATAAACTAGTAATTGTGTTAACGATTTGAGAGCAACACGATGCTTGACGTGCACCTAATCGCAGCAAATGCTAGAATCTCTATTACTAAAACGGCGTTTAATGAATGGGTAATTTAACTAATTAATTAAAAACAACGTTTAATTAATGGATGAATAAAGTCAGAGCAGCCAGTGACGATACTTATTTCTTTTCCGTCCCGTTCCGTTCCCATTTAACTGGATAAAACTGATACTCTAACAATCTTCCCAATTGCCATGGCCAGATTCGATGAATGGGTACAAAGGTAAAATGTGAAATGAAAATAGAAAAATATTAAAATTTGACTTACTTAAGTAGTAAATATGCTACCAATTTTGTTACCAAATTTTATTTTTACAATTTAATAAATTACTTTCTCTATCCTTTCTTTTAACAGATATTTTTTCTATTATAAGTTGTTTTGAAAGAATTAAGGAACATTAATGAATGATTTTCTACTAATTTCCTAAATCATCTTTACACTTTATTATTTTTTTATTTGTAGTGATATATTAATACGGTAAGAGATGTGATTTATTGATTTCTTGATTATTGTATTAAAACTTTAAACGATAAATAAAAATGAATTGAAAAAGAATTTAATTTTAATTTTTGATCTTTAATTTTTATATAAATATCAAAGATTTAATTTTATTTGTTTAGGAACATGATTTCAGTATACATACAATAGTTTTTAATTTTAAATTTTTTGATCACTACTCAATATAAGTAATAAATTCAAAATATCTAAAAATAGCGAATATTTGAATAAATTAACATTATCATTATTTTTATTTAATTAATTATTTAATGTAACAAGTATTATAGGACACATGTGTATTTAAGAATCTAAATAATGTATATATGGGAAAATCCTAACAAAATCAGTTACAGTGATATCACCTAACTGAATAAAACAATTAATTAACAAATTAAAAAATAAAAAGATAATAGGATATTTGGCAAAATAATGATAAAATTTATTAAATATTAAAAGGTTAAAAGTGCTAAAAAACAAATGCTTTACTTAATATACTCAACTAAGCTATAAGCAGTGTCTTGCTGATACTAATGAGCCCCGCCTTTTTGGTTCTGCTCTCTCTTCTTCCCCATGTGAGTGAGACTCGCCTTTTTCTGCTGCAAATCAGGGACCATTTTCTCTCTCCTCTCTTACCCTGATTGTGATTCACTGTGCTCTCTTATAAGGCCCCAGTCCCCAGTCACCAAATGATACTGTCAGTCTAGAGCCCTCTCTCTCCCTCTCCCTCTCCCTCTCCCTCTCTGTCTTTCAGTCTTCTTTTCTTCGATTCTTTTCTTGAGCTCCCTAGATTTGGACTGAGAGGGAGAGAATGTTTGTCAGAGCGATCAAATTCCTTGTTAATGGGTTTTCTTTACTTTTTTTAGGGTGGTGAGAAATTCTTTGTGAAGATGCATAACTTTTTGGTTACAAGATTTAGTCTGTTTCTTCTTCATCTTCTTGTTTTTGTTATTGTTTCTTCGTTCTTTTGCCCTGTTTCATCTCTGCCTCAAAATGATGGGCTAAATAGAGATCGTCTCAAGTTTATTTTAGGTTCGTTTATCAAACGTGTACAATTCGTATTTTGTTCTTGATGTTGATATGTTTGCTACATAATTTCTGTATCTGGCTTGTTGTTCATTTTGGCTTATTTATTCTAGATATGGGAAAACAGATTTTAGCCATATTATAGCATGAGGCTTTCATTTTTAGTGTTGTTTTTTGCTCTTGTCCTTATCTTGAATGGATTGCAATTTTAGTGATTCATTTCTTGTTCGGTTTTGGACATGTATAAATCTTTTTGTTAATGTAATGTTATTTGTCTTTTACAGGAGAGAATTTGGGGCCATGGAAAAATGGAATGTCACAGGCTGCTGCGGAAGCTCCAGGGCCTTCTGATGATAATAAACTTTTATTAGCGGCCAAGAGGACTAATCGGCCGGACATTCTTCGAGGATTTAAGCGTTATAGAGATGGTTGGAATATCACTAATCGCCATTACTGGGCTGTAAGTCTTTTAGGCCTACTTATTGTTCTAATCTCCATATTATGATTTTAATTATTTTATAAATGTTGACTCTTTGTCAATAGAAATTTGGTCCATTTCACCAATTGGGTTCATTTCAGATTCCACACGCACTTAAATATGTCAACACATGATCTAGGTTTTGGGTTAGGTAGATTGAATGAACCAAGAAAGCTTTTTCTTCACATGGGCTGGTGGGGATCTAGTTGGGAACTAGGTTTTGTTATAATAAAAATGGGACCAGTTTACTTACTATTAGCATGGAATGCAAAGTCCAGTCTGTTGACATTTTCTCATGAATTAAATAGATTTTTGGAAAAAGGAAATCTTTGCATTATTTTGACTGAACTTGAAGGAATCTTGTATAGCTATTTTCATCATAGACAGTGGCTAGTAGTCTCTGTTATTCCTTCAAATTAATTTTGATTTGTTAGTTTTTAACTGGTGTGTCTGCAGTCTGTTGGTTTCACAGGTGCTGCTGGTTTCATTTTGGCGGTCTTGTGGTTTTTCTCATTCGGATTGACCCTTTCCATACGATACTGCTGCCGGTGGAGAGTGACAATTAAAGGCAAAGGATCAGAAAGATCTCAAAAGATTTGTCTCATATTGCTTATAGTGTTCACTTGTGCTGCAGGGTAATAAACTAAAATCCTTTGACACTTACCTCTATTCTTAGTAGTTATTCTCTTGCTGTTTTAGTAATTATTCAATCATTGTGAGTTTAAGTTTTGCCTATAACAGTTACTTCTTTCCCCCCATAATTTAGGTTTCTGAAATTGATGAGCATTTTCTTATCTGTTTGCTTTAAAGAATAATATTAGATGTCCTTAGTTTTGATAGTTTGATCAGTATATGTATATATTTTTTGTATATATTTTTGATAGATACATATATTGATACATATTTAACTATAGGCATTTGGTTCCTCTTGATCTAGAAAGGGTTTTTCTTGTTTTAAATTTATTGTGGCTTGGAGAGGAGGAATAGTAACTGTAGCTGTCTTGTCAAAGCAATATTATGGAGCTGTCTGATCATTTTTCTCAATTTTTAATCGTTCAATGGAATTGCCATTTAGTTAATTTTGTCAATTCTGTTTTTCCTATAGATTTCGGACTGTGTTGCCATTGCATGGAGAATTGAAGTTTTAGCCATATCGCTAGTATCTACTCATGTTTGCATTTGGGTTGTTTTTACTAAACAAATTCACATGTTCATGCCATTCATCTTCATTTTCTTTGTCTACATCCCACTCGTATTTATTTGAATAATACTTTTGATTTCTTCTTCTGATCCCAGCTAATACCTAATCCATTTATTGTTCAGAGTTGGATGCATTCTGTTATCTGTTGGTCAAGATGAATTTCATGATGAAGCTTTGCATACCCTGAAATATGTTGTAAACCAGTCAGACTACACTGTACAAACCTTGAGAAATGTGACAAAGTATCTGTCCCTTGCAAAGACAACAAATGTAGCCCAAGTATTTCTTCCTTCTAATGTCCTGGATGATATTGACAAATTGAATGTAGATCTAAATTCTGCAGCTGATATATTGAAAGAGAAGACAAGTGAAAATGCTGGAAAAATAAAAAATGTGTTCAATGCTGTGTATGTATCTGAAATCCTTTGCAGTTAGTGAATTACCTCACTTGGTAATTGTATTGACAGTCATGATGTTCATGGACCAATTTTGAATTCATTGTTTCAGGCGATCAGCGTTGATCAGTGTGGCAGCAGTGATGCTAATCCTGGCTCTGCTTGGTTTTTGTATGTATTTTGGAAACACCTATTGATTGATACCTTGAATTTGATTTTCTCATATACTCAATTCTTACTTGTGGATATTGCTTTTGTTCCAGTCCTGTCAATCCTTGGGCACCGACATACTATTCTTATGTAAGTCTTTCTATATATTATCTGTTGGATATTATACTGATATATAATTGCTGGATGCTTTTAATGTTATATCTAATTCTATCAATACATTGCTCCAGATTTGTTGTGAGTGGATGGTTACTAGTGGCAATTACATTCGTTCTTTGTGGAGTCTTTATAATTCTTAACAAGTAAGATTCTGAATCTTTTCTGGAGAATTTATGCTGTATTTTCTTGTTTTTATTGAGAAATTAGTGCTGTGCATACTGCATGCTGATGTAAAATTTTCCCTTCATCCAACAAAATCTCAGTGCAATTTCTGATACCTGCGTGGCCATGGAAGAATGGGTAGAGCATCCTCATGCAGTGACTGCTCTTAGCAGCATCCTTCCTTGTGTTGATCAAAGTACAACAAACAAGACACTCATCCAAAGCAAAGAAGTGATCAATGATATTGTAAATGTTGTCAATACTTACATATACACCTTTGCAAATGCAAATCCATCCCCGAGTGAAAAATACAATTATTACAATCAGTCTGGACCTCTGATGCCCCCACTTTGTTACCCATTTGATTCGAAGCTTCAAGATCGTCAGTGTGCCTCCCAAGAGGTGTCTTTGACAAATGCATCTGAGGTATGTCTTATCAGTTTAGTGATTGCTTGGACATCTTTTTAGTTCTTCCTCACTTATATCTGCAACTGGAAACTTCTTGTTAATCTTGTTAAGCTTCTTGTTAATCTTTTTAGTTCTTCCTCACTTATATCTCCATTGTTTTGTTAAAATTTTCAGGTTTGGCGAAGCTACATTTGCAAGGTTTCACCGTTGGGGCTATGCACAACTGTTGGTAGAGTGACACCTGACGTCTACGAGCAGCTAGTGGCTGCAGTTATGGAAAGCTATGCATTGGAGCACTATACTCCTGTTCTGCTCAGCCTCCAAGATTGCAAATTTGTGAGAGACACATTCCAAGAAATTACCTCAAACTATTGTCCTCCATTGGAACACTATCTGCATATTGTAAATGTCGGACTTGGCCTAGTCTCAGTTGGAATTTTACTCTGCCTTATCCTCTGGATACTCTATGCAAACCGCCCCCAAAGGGAGGAAGTGTTTGTGAAACTACCCCTGCCAATGAAAGCCAGCATTATGTGCACCAAGACCAAGACCAGTTCTAGACACAACAGCGACATCGATGCATCGATGTCGAATACAAATGTAGTATAGAGAATTAGAAAATGAAAATTATAGTCATAAAAGTTACAGTTGTGAGAGTTTTGTTGTATCCCTTCGAAGGGAAGGTACCAAGATGGAGCAAAGTTCCATTTTTTGAGTAATAGGAGTATAGCAATATGTAGTATATATTGTTGTTACTGTTGTATAGGGCAAGTAAAACTTGCCTTTGTTAATGCTTTTAGCTTGGGCGGTTTGTGAATACCAGTTGGAAATGAAATGAAAGAAAATTACTACCAATGGCTTTCTTGCTTCGTCTATTACATTATGCTTTCGAAGAAAAGCTAAAGGAACGGACGCTTTTGGCGGGAAGGGATTAACACGTGAAGGACTGTGATTGGTTATAGTAATTTTTGGTAGAGTGAATGACCCTGACGGCTCTTATTATGGTTTTCTTATGATTATACGAGTAATATTGGGCTTTCTCGGCCCATAATATTCACGTCATTGTCGAGGAATTCGTCTATAAGAATTTGTTTGATATTAATGAATTACTATGTAGAATTATTATATATATTTACTTTTTTATGTTTAATTGACATTTAATATTATCGAAAATTTATTTGAAACTTTATCCTTTTAATTCCATAAATTTGATTATAACAGAATTTGCAAATAAAATTTAAAATTAACAAGAATATGAACGATTAAAGCTAAATTCAATTTAATTTTAATTACTAGCTAGTAAAGCTATAGATTTAAAATAAATTTATAGTTAGTGCAAACACGAGAACTTTATTTACAAGTGAATTGTTTTAATAAAATGTATTTTGTAAATAAAATGAATTCCAAATAAATATGTAAATAAAACTAATGATAAAAGGGTTTGACAGCATGGAGCACAAAAAAAAAAAAAAAATTAAATTTTGATTATAACAGAATTTGCAAAATAAATTTAAAAATTAACAAGAATATTTGAACGATTAAAGCTAATTCAATTTTAATTTAAATTAACTAGCTAGTAAAGCTATAGATTTAAAATAAATTTATAGTTAGTGCAAACAGAGAATTTAATTTACAAGTGAATTGGTTTTTAAATAAAGATGTATTTTGGTAAATAAAATGAATTCCAATAAATATGGTAAATAAAAACTATGAATAAAAGGGTTTGACAGCAATGGAGCACACAAAAAAAAAAAAAAAAAAAAAAAGTAGTATATACACGTCTTTAACTAAATATTAATAAAAATAATTATTTAATAAAACAATTCTTATTATTTAATTTTATTTATCTAGATAGATATTTACCCTTGGGCTCTAATTTGTTTTAAGCATCTAAAAATAAATAGTTTATAAATCCATTTAAAATAATCCAAAATATTTAAATAAAAATATTCAAACTTTATAATCTTGAAACACTCAAAAGCACTCACACAATGCAATACATCTTTATCCATAAAATCATGAAGCAAAAAAATTTGAAGGGCTCAATGAGAAGCAAAAATTAATGCACAAATGAGAATTTTAAGAGCAAAAAGAATTCACTCATAAATACAGAGAAGAGAGAACAGAGTAACTGAAATCACAACTTGGAAATAGCAATTCTTTGACTCAAATAAAAAATGTCGAGTTGCTTTTTTACAGTTCTTTCTGTTGTCGCCATGGTTGTTACTACGTTTCCCTCTTTGTGGGGTAAGATTATAGCAATGGACATGGGAGTAGCGGCGGTAAAGACAATAATCATATAGTTCTTTTCTATTTTATATATTTATATATTGTAATAAATATTGTCTCTGTCTGTCACAGTTGTAGTTCATCTAATGTATTATCTTTGAGACTGAATTTATTATAAAAATTATGGTTGAAAATGATGTTTTTTGGTGGTTAATTTAATTATACTTAGTTATAACTCTTCTTTCTTTTCTTTACCAATTTCTATATATAATTTCTATATATATATATAATATAATATATATATATATATATATATATTATATATATATATTATATATCTTCGCCTATGCACCCTTTTTATCAAGTAGGTGGGAATTTGAAATCCTAAATGAAGCTTGAAATTGGCAATTTTCCAAAGGCAGTCGATTTGTCTAGTTCAAATCCAATAATGTGTAGTGGCCTCTGATTATTGAATCAGATTTTTAAACATTGGGTTTCATATATATCGCCTATGCACCTTTTTATCAGTAGGTGGGAATTTGAAATCTAATGAAGCTGAATTGCAATTTTCAAGGCAGTCGATTTGTTTAGTCAATCCAATAATGTGTATGTGCCTCTGATTATTGAATCAGATTTCAAACATTGGGTTTCTAGATATAAAACAGATGAGCATGACAACCGTGAAGTTATTTTCAAAAATTTGACTTCTTTAAAGTGTAGATTAGACATAACAAAAGAAAACGCAATCATTTGGCAGATTATTTAACTCCAAATTATTTAACTAAACAACGAGTTAGATACTTTAGAGTTTTTTACAGTTTGATTTTTAATTCATTATTTTGTGCCTATTATTAGAGATCAAGTGTTTTTTTTCTTCTTAATTCAAGAGAAGAATTTGGAATTTTCTTTTTTTTTTGAGTTTTAATTTTACGTTACAAAATTATTTAGTTTTTTCATTTAAATTTTCCATGTTTAATTTTGGGTATATTAAGGATGTCACTAGCTCAGATTAGCTTGCTTGGATAAATTATTTTTTATATATATATTAATAAAATAAATTAATTCTAATGATAAAGTATTATGGAAATTAATTCTCTTTTAGAGAATTAGTATTAAATTAAAGATATTATAGTCAATTAGATACGTAAACTTCATTTCTATGCACAAATAGCAACTATATTTTTAATAGTGTGATTAATATCATTAAATTATTTTTATTTAATAGTATCATTAATTTTTTTATAATAATATACATTTATTTTATTGAAAAATAAAAACCATATTTTTAATATATACTTAATAATTAAATATTGAAACGTACTAATATAAAAACAAATATGCATGCATGTTCTAATGCACGTACTAATGTCTCTTCAAGTGACACGAAATTTTTATTCTAAATTTTAATTATTGTATAGATTTGTTACGCGTGTGAGAGAGATAAATATTTTATATTGCTGTGCATCGAAAAATATTGACCGTTATTTGACCTAATTTTGAAAATATCAAAAACCCATTTATTAATTTCAATGACCAATGAGAAATTAATAAACTTAACTTTTCTCTCGATCAAGAAAAGTTTCAACTTTATATTAGTAGTTTAATAAATGTAACATGCCATTAATTAATGAATTTCAAATTTTAAATGAATTTTTTGTCATTATTTATAAATTAAAAAGATAAAATTTTAATAGGTTTACAAATATAAGAACATAATTTATTATATAGAAACAATTTTATTTTATATAAGAAAAGTTATTATTATATAAAAATATTCTTAAAACAGGACATTATAATATTTATGTATGCTATTGATGTTTCGCTTTTTATTTTATTATATATAATTGTAGTGTATTTCATTAATTAACTAATTTAACTAAATCGTCTTGTATGACTGTTCGTTGGATAATAGTAAATGCTTAGGATGGAAAAACGAAGGGTTAAGAAGCTCAACTATCAAAATAAATAAATAAATAAATAAATATTATTGAATTATTGTATTTTAAAAAATATTAATAAAACATAAATGAGAATTCGAAGAGTTAGAATCTTTACCTATAAATATAGATACCTAAATAGAAATTTATCAACTCATTTTGGATAACTCTTTGGATTGAATTAATTGAGAGGAAAATGTGGAGATTTCTCTTTAATTTTGTTTCTTTTGTGGCAATGATTTCTTCGACTATGGTCTCGGTGCTTCAACTTGTCTCTTTTTTTACCTAAATCAGCAATGGATGGCAGAGACATGAACTAACGCACTTCTCTATGATGTAATAATTTATTGTCTCTGTCATTTTTACAGTTGATATTATGAAATTTTAGTTTTTAATTTAATTATGTGTTCTTCTGCATTTTCTTTTATTTCTTCTTTTCATTTTGCTTACTATATTTTCATGGATTCCTTCTTTTCTAATCTCCAATCGTTATATTTATTTGTTTAACTCATTTATTTATTTTTCAATTAACTAATAATCAAATTTTGTTTATTATTATGTACATGCATAATTGCTCATAAGTCAATAGAAATAATCAATTAATGATGATTCACCAATCATACAACAAAGTAGACATTGGTTGTTCAACTGCAATTTCAAATTTTCTTTATTATTTTTATTGAAAAAAATTTAATATTTTTTTTTCAATTTTTCCTATGTAGTATATCCTAATGCATGGGAAACAAAGGGACATTTTGTATAAAATTAGAACAAATAATTCAATATTAAGGTTTTTTAATTGAAGCAATGAAATTTAGTTCTGTTATGAATGAGGTAGTTGTCAACCAAACCAATCAAAGAGAAGGCATTGACCAATCTGCTTTGTAATTTGTCAACTATTATAAAGGGACTATTTTTTTTTTTTTTTGAATTTTTTTTATTAATTATGTAATTGTTAGAAGTAAATAAATTTTTAATTTTAGTTATACTTTTCAATGGTTATTTCTATAGAAGTTGTACATTAGAAAAATATTCTAAATAAAAATAAAATAAAATAAAGAGGTGGGACATTCAAGTACATGTTATTAACATCCATATCTATATGTGCATCTAATTCTAGAACAATATTGGTCAACCAATCCAAAACATTTAACAAAATATAGTTTCTGGATGGTCAACAAGGAATCGGTCAAAGGTCCGATTTGGAGATCTATAAAATCAACTTGATTTTGTCTAAATTATTTCTTTTTATAAGACAATAATTTAGTTAATATAATACAATACTTTTCTTAGGGAAAAGAAAATATTAATCTTAATACTATTTTCAGATCATGAAAGTCGAAATAGTATTGTCTAATAATTTAGTGGCGTGTATTTTTTATATTCCACTCGCTCTCAACGAGCAATAAAAAAATTTGAAAAAATTAGGAAACAATGAATAGAAAGTGAATTATTGAAATCCATAAAAAGGAATTTATGGTTGAAAGGTGCAGTTTATCTATATACATGCATTCAATTCCAATGGTGTATATTCTAACAAGTGCTCCTCAAGATTAATGGATGATGAGAACCAATTTGCAATTTCAAGAGTTTGTTTGAATGTGATCACTTGATATTAATCATTCTTTAAATTGACAAAATTTTGAAACAAACCATTTTTTGAATAGTAAAAATTAATTTTATATATATTTACAATTTTATAGTAGTATATTACATCAATGTATTTTTGGGAGGCCATGCCCTTGCTCTTTCTAAGCTCCACCTGCTGCAATTATGCTCATTATGACATGACCAGCTAGCTCAATTGAATAGAAAATGAATTGAAATAAAATAATTATATGAGAATGATTAAGAACTAAAGTGTATTTTTAAATTCATCCTCCATGTTCTTTTCTTACATTGAAAATTTATTTAAAAAGAATAATCCATTGAAATTTTAACTATTAACTTTCTATATTTATCCAATCACTAACATTTGGTTGAGTGCTCTTTCTTTCCTATTTTTGACTTGATTAGAAATTTGTTAATATATTCCATTTTTATATTTATAGATAATTAGCAATGGTATAAAAATTGATATTATATGAGGAATCTAATGGATATAATATTTTTCCATTGAAGATATTATCGCAGTAAACAAAAAAAGGATTGGATTAAAATAGAAAAAACAAGGAAAGAGAGTGGACGAGAATTTGAAAATGTAATGGCCAAGTAAAATATTGGTAGCAGTCGGGTCTTTGCCGTTTGAATCTCTCTTTATTTTTCTTCTCTCTCTTAAAACTTACACAAACCAAAATCTCTTTCTTACATTTCATCTGATTCTTTAGTCCCATGTCCGTGCGTATTATATAACAAAGACACCCAGCGAGATAAAAGGGGCATGTTTTTCAAGTTATAAGAGCTTGTAAGGAATAAAAGAAAGAAACTTTCACATGTATATGAATGTATAAATTTTGGGTTCTTAATGTTAATTGAGTTCCTTCACTCAATCTCTTGCTTTGCTTCATTCTAAAAACACAGATATATAAAAGAGAAAGAACTTTTCTTGACTTGAAGAAAATTCGAATTCCTTCTTGTAAGTTTCTTCTTTCTCTCTTTCTTTTATCTTTTTCCTTATAACCCTTTTCTTGTTTTGATGCTTATTCTCTTTTTAACTAATTGAATTTGGAAAAGTTTCTCTCTTTTTTGCATCTAGGTTCCTTCTTTTTGTTCTTGTCCTTTCTGGGTATTCTCTTTTTTCTTGTTTCTATGCTATGCTTTGATGTATTTTTTCCAACTGGGTATTGGCCATTTCTTGTTGTTGTTGACCTTTGGGTGTGATTTGTGGGGCAATTTCAGTTGAGTTCCTTTCTTAAATTTTTTTTTTTCACAAAGGTAACTTGCTATTTTTTTCCTTTTTGCCTCCTTATCAGGCAAATTTTTGTAGTATACCTCGTTTTTGTATCCAACTATGGTGAGTTTTGGTTTTCAGGTTGTCTAGTGAAGGACAAACTACAAAAGCTTGGCCTTTGACCTTGTTTTGTTGGAATTCTTGTTGGATATAGTCAAATTAATTGTTGTTGATGATGGGGGATCATTTTGTCTTGTTGGTGGATCGATTGCTAACAGAATCTACATTAGAAGCTGCAATTGAGAGCAGAAATAGATTGATGCAAACAACAGCATCAGCAATTGATGAAACAAAAATTGATATATCTTCAAATAAAGTGAATTTTGGGGATGTTTCTACTGCAAGAAAAATAGTGGAGTGCAGGATATGCCAAGATGAAGATGAAGATTCCAACATGGAGATTCCTTGCTCTTGTTGTGGAAGCTTGAAGGTTTGTTTGGTTTTTATTTGATCAGATAAATTTCAAGTTTGCTGCTTTTAATTTGTTTTGAGCTATGCAAGAAATATATATGATGAATTATGAGGAAATCTTGATTCATATCTCTTTCCTTATAGCTGATGTAAGAGTCAAAATCAATTGCCAAATTAGCCTTATTCTTTTTCTTTTGATTTTTTTTTTTCAATTATTAAAGTTTCATTGTCAATTAGGTATCAATTAAGTCTGTGAGTTTGACATTTGACGTTTCTATCTAAATTGTTTCTCTTGTTGAGGGTCAAACTTAATCTTTAATAGTCAATACCAAAGTTAATTATATTGATTCTTCATCTTTGCAGTATGCTCACCGCAGATGCGTTCAGAGGTGGTGCAATGAGAAGGGTAACACCACATGTGAGATATGCCACCAGGTTGGTCTCGTTCTTTCTAATTCAACTTTCAACTTAGTCACTATTATTTGCCTCCAGGGAATCTTTTAACTTCTTATTGATGCTCTTAGCCTGTGTCAATATGAAATGAATTTGTAGCTGCTTCTTCATAGTAAATTGGTTATTTTCAGCAATTCACGCCTGGTTATACTGCTCCAGCACCGCTGTTTCAAATAGGACGTATTCCGATGAACCTTAGGTAAATTTTGTGTACATATCACCAATTTGGGCTTGCAGATTTTTCCATTTCACTGGAACTTCACCATTGTTCTCCCATGCTGTTTTTATCAGGGGAAATTGGGAGACTACCAGAAGAGACTTGCATGGTCCCCGCTTTATAGCAATGGTATCGACCGACCGCAATTTCCTTAATCCTGACTATGAAGAGATTTCAGCCTCAACAAGAAACTCAATCTACTGTCGCTCAATTGCCATAGCTGTAATCTCTTTCTCCGTGCCAAAATTTTGGCAATCTATAGAATTCTCTTTCTTTTCCATCTTTTTTTTTTTTTTTTTTTTTTTTTTTTTTTTTTTTTTGCTCACTTAACTTAGTCCCTGTTGCCAAAGTTTATGGTTCTCTCCATATGTCTCGATTGCTTCTTGTGAAGTTTGCAGTTCGTGTTTCCTTTTTGATTCTTACGGCATAGCTCTTTCCAGTCATCCCTTAGCTAGAACCAATGAATATGTACTTCCCATTTTTTTTTTTTTTTTTTTTTTTTTTGCTTCACTTAACTTAGTCCTGTTGCCAAATTTAGTTCTCTCCAATGTCTCATTGCTTCTTGTGAATTTTGCAGTTCGTGTTTCTTTTGATTCTACGGCATACTCTTCCAGTCATCCTTACTAGAACCAATGATATGTCTTTCCCATTGCTTATGGTAAGGCAATTTATACTACCTCTTCTTCTAAGACAGTATTGACGAAATACATGACTGAAAAAAATGCAATGCTTATCCATCTCAACTCCTCTGACAGTTGGTATTTCTACGAACTGCTGGAATTGTTCTTCCGTTATATTTTATTGCAAGAGCAGTGACTTCTCTACAGCAACGCCGCCATCGACAGGTAAATTCTAACTAGAAGTATGACACTGCTTCTTTTCTATCTCAAGTCTAAACTCATTTCTGCTTGGGTAATGCAGCTTTCACTTATTTTATCTTTTATTTTTGGCCTTTAGGTGCCTTCGAATGTATCTTTTACTACATCTGATGAAGAAGCTGAGCATTCAACACCACCGTCTCGCCTAAGTATAAGCGATGTTCAATAGTCTGTTTATGAAGTATTACCTTGTGATCAGCAGCATCTGCCAATCTTTATGTCAGTAGTGTTTTAAAGTGTGTGAAGGTGACCTCAATATGCCAGGGTGATATCTTCTCCAGCTCAGGTTTAATTAGATTCTGGTTTCCAGGAAAATGTTATAGTTTCTGTGACAGCTCTGGAATAGAACCAGCAGAAACATTTAGTGAACAACCATCAAATGTTATGTAGATTATTAGATGTACATTTCCTATATTGGTCATCGTATCTCTATACTTTGTACAGGCAGGAAAATACCACACTGTATATACAACATTTATACCAGAAAAAGTACATTGTAAATTATCAGCAAATATAGTAATTTATTCTATCATTTGCATAACCATGTCTGTTATTATTTTCTTTTATTTTACTTGCATTGTCTTGCTAATTTGTTTTCGGAGACAACGCAACGGATCATTTTCTGCCAAGTAAGATCCTTGATGGGCATAGTGAAATGAAGGTAGTGATAGACCTGGCCAGGTTCTGGTTCGGAGCCAGACTGGATCGGTAGAACACCTATAACTAGAACTGGACCGCGGTTCTGAACTACAACCAACCCTTGCACCTTCAAAAAATATAACTATGATTGGTCCAATTCTTGTTTAAGGGCGACAGGGCCATCTGTTGGTTTGAAGCTAAAACCGGTTCATGGCCTCTTAGCTTAAGGTTGCACATGGTTTAGGTTGAGTTGGTTCAGGTTTATTGATTTAAAGTACTTGTGAAAAATTGATACTATGAATAGTTTTTTTCCCACGGAAACCATTAAATATGCGAAAGTATGGGTTAAAAACAGGTTCGGAACCCTGTTAAACATGAAACCATGAGTTAAATAAATCATAATAATATAAATAAATTTTCAATTGCATAACTATTTTTTTAAAAAGCAATCATAACCCAACTCATATTATGAATTTTAAAGGTCAGTTATCCAACCAATTTAACTATGAAATATATTGAGGAAAAGGCATTTTTTTGTTTGGCAAAGATAAGGAAAATATTGAAAGAATTAATATTTCACTTATTTTCCACCTAGGTCACATGTTTTGAATATATAATTTGGAGAAAAAATAATGAAGCAAAGTGGAAATCTTACTCATTTTTATTAAAATATCCAAATACCCCAAATTAATTAACAAAATTTAACCATTTCTTACGTACTCAATTATTTAAGTAGAAATATAATTGTCAATTCTCAATAAAATTTGTTCATTTCCAACCAAAGGAAAATATATTTATTTTCTTTTCTTCATTATATTCAAACATAAATATCGAAAATAACTATGAAAAAGAAGTTGATAATTCCTCGATATTTTCATTCCTCCAATATTTTCCTTCCTCTCCTTTCCAAACAAAAAGGTACAAGTTCTTTTTCTCCTCTCTAAGTGCTTAAAAAATGTGGTTCCGCTACCAATGATTGTAAGTTGGTAAGGACACCAGATTGATATCTCATATATGATTGATATCTCAACTATTATCATCATTCTTTCAAAGCATCAGAAGACTTGAGTTCAGACTGGAGACTTGCCCAAATTAGATATGAACTTACCCTATGCTAAACCTAGACAATCATTAACCTGGCAAGTACCAGAATAGTGAAAGCAAGAGCAGACTAAACCAAGATCTGGTCCTGTTCAGTGTTTATAGAGAGCAAGTTTACATTCACCATATCTCTTCATAATGGATAGAAGCAAAATTAAACACCCACAACACTCAAAATAGCTGAGTAATCAGATCAATGCAGTGGACAAAATACACACACTAATAATAAGTACATAAGTAGGAACGAAAAGAAGGGGAATAATCTTTAAAAATTACAATTATCACAAATATCTGTACATTCCAAAGTATATATGTTAAGGAAAAATTTGAAAAGAGGGTACAGAGGAGGACCTCAGAGCAGTCCAGCACGATGCGATCTGTAATGCTATTCAATCTGATTTCACCTAACTGGGCAGCATAATGGCTGTGAAGTATGGTATGGTCCTTCTAACTATCTTAGTTCCGGCTTCCTCCTTGGCCTGAAATATTTGGGAATAAAAAACAAATAAGAAATTTTACCTCCTAAGTATCAAATCTCTCTCTCCCTCATTTTTTCTTTGTTCTTCCCTTTTTTCTGTTTATACTTCATTATAATTTTTGAGAAATTGCACTGCCCTCCTAAAAATCATATGTTCTTTAAAGAGTGTAGTTGGTGGAAATACTTCCGACTCTTCTGTTGTGAACGCCAGTAACATGCAAGCGCTCCAAATGCACAGCTAGCAAGAGCAATTGCCAATGCTGCCCCCACAGGCACCACAACTGCATTTGTTGAGGCCACCAAATCTTCAATAGCTCCATCAGTCACTTCACTCAAAAGAACACCCTTCTCCTTGTAAAGGGAGGCAAGTGTTTTTCCGTAATAATTAGTTAAGAAACTGTACACCTCGTCCTTATTCCAAGCAACCCGACTGGTTCCATCGTCTCTCTGGTCATCAGAGAGATAACATGAAGAGCATAGCTGCCTTGGAGGCCAAATAATCTTTGGGAACTTGGGGTCATCAGTTCCCAGAGATGCTTCTTCCTTCATTAATCTCTCATTTACTTTATTATGTGCACTCCATAACCAAAGGACGAAGTCACGAGACGAGTCGAAAGGACGATCAACACTGTAATTTAGAATCATAGTTAGCAAATAGAACCTTGGAGAGCCAAGAACAAACTCACAATGACTTGCTTTTACCTTGAACACATTTTATAGAAATGTTGACGACACTCCTCACAAATAAAGAAGTTGTGGATAAAATCACAAATAGTTGTGAAAGCAAACTGGCTCTCTCCATCCTCAATTCTCACAGATAATGAATGCAATAGAACCCATAAACCACAGCTGCAAATATAAACATATAAATCAATTCGTATAATTGGCTGAACAATAATAGATATATACATTGAGAAGTAAATGATGAAATAAAATGGAGCATTTCATTTTCACTCAAGAAAAGACAAATAAATATGCATGTTTTGGTGGAAAATTCATGATAATATTGTTAGCAAAAGGTTGTAAAGGTTGTAAAAGGTGGCCTAAAAAAGCAGCCAGCAGTTCAAACATTTGAACCACTAAGCAAATGCAAATGCAATTTGACACGAAAAGCCAAATACACAAAAACTGAATCTTGGATCAGAAGAAAAAAAGGCTTGATGCTCCACACCACTTGCATTGATGATAATAGAAACCCTGAACGAGAATCACAATCACCATCACATGACATTGGCAACCAGCATAACTATGATTAAGCCACCGATATCACTATCATTGGTTCTTCCTTCTCACCAACGCTACTGACACCACCTCAAACAGTGCCAGTGAGAGATTGCCACTCAATCATAGTCAGGAAAAAAAATTCCCCTTTCTTCCCCTTGTTTCTAGCAAAATGTTTTGCAGCTCATTCACCTTTCAAGCCCACCAAGTGATGTACAGTGGAAAGAACTCAAACATCAGGACCAAATAGGAGATGACTTTATTCCCTTTACACAGCCCCTTCAAACGCCTTTAATGGTTTAGCTGAACATGGACTAAAAGGAACTCACAAATTGGAAAAGACGTTACAAACACCAGGTCAGACTTGGGTCTATACAACCTGCCATGCAGTTGTGATTCATGCGCCTACTGTGCCAGGTGCTTCAGTAAGAAACAAAGAAAAAGAACCATTACCTAAAGCCCCTAGTATCATTCTTGCTGCCACGGCAAAACATCTGAAGAAGCAAAAAAATAGCTCTTTCAAAATATGACCATAAAAATAAAGCTTATCAATGATGCAGTAGCAGAAGTAAACAACAGATAAATTCACAATCAAACAGCTTTTTTTAGCAGATTAATATCAGATTATCTACCAAATAGGAGCAAATATCAATCAAACAAATATGAATCATATATTTTCTAGCAGATTGATGAATATAATGGGACAGATAGGTCACAAACACAATTAAATCTTTCTTAAGAATAATGTCAAAATTAGAAGAACTAAAAGGACTGGTGGAAGCTGCATCAGGATGAAGCTTTAAGAAAAATAAGATTAAACACAATGCATATGATGCTTGAACAATTATGTAAATAATGAATTCAATCATGGTTGTGTAAACGTTAAGCAGAAACCTTAAATTTTTTTTTTTTTAAAACTGAATAAATTAGCACAACCTTTCATGTTCCAGTTCTTTACATAGAGTTGCAGTCTCATGTGAACAGACACATCCCTCAAAGAGAATAACTTAAGAACTCATTAAAAGGACAACAAAAAAAGTGACATTGATGATTGCAATCCTGCACAAAATGTAATTGCAATTATAGCATCTGGGATATATGCACTGACTCAAATCCATTAATTCAATATCAAAACAGCTGAAAACAAATCCACACATCAGGATTACAATAAGCCACTTCGAAAGAATAGGGAAGAAAAAAAAAAAAAAGAAAAGAAAAACACAGACCCAATATCCTCGAGGAACATCTTTCCCACAAATCTGGAAATTCCCTAGCATATCCTTGCCGTTGCTGAGAGCTTCCAATTTCTCATTCGGTGGGCACAAGTCATCAAAGCTTACAAGCACTTCTGCACTTCCCTTCCGGCACCTAATACAAATAATCTACCAGTAAATCAATGAGGAATCATCAACGTATGTATGGCAACATTAATTTCAGGAAAAGATATTGGTCTTTACCTCTTAGAAGGATGATGTGCCACTAAAAGCTGAAGGAATTTTATAAGTGAAGCTCGAGTTTCTGATTTGATCATCTGCAGAAGAAACATATGCATAATTGGTAAAAGAAGAAAGAAAGAAAACACATACAGGCAAACATAGAATACATAACCATAACAAACGAAAAATCCACCTTGTGCTCAAATATAATATCAAAGGCAATGGTAGTTGCCTCCTCAACATCATACACAGCACGTGCAATCTTGTATAAATCATACACTGTAGAAGTTAATATCTAAAAAATACAAGAATTCATATGTGACATTCTGGAGAAAATGTTGGGTTCTGCTGATAGAAAACCTGTCCAGGGTCTGATACATTTGATGGTAGATGTTCATTTTCGAACTTCTGATCATCCAAATGATAAGAGCTGTACGCAATTATACAAAGTAGAAATAAGGATAATGACTCGTACATTATTGCATAAACGACGAGTAAATATTGTCATAAAAACACCACTGCCAACAATAACATCTCATTATCAAAAACAACAATCATACAAGAAACATATTTCTCCATAATCCAAAAACAAATTTCAGGATAACAATAAAAAATGAGTTATAACAATAAAAGAAGACAGAACTCAAACCATTTTCTATGTTCTTTCTAAAACATGCAGATCGAAAATCTTAAACAAATACTCTTGTTATTTTGGGTAGTTGATTAAAATTATAAACACGTAAAATTTCGCCAACCTGTACTGCTATGTTTATAGCCAAAATAGATTACTGTACAGTAACCTTACCACGACAATATAAATACTAGTGCTGCTGTACAATTCTAACCTTTACTAATTACTAGTTCTAAAACCATCCCATCTCAAACTGAGTTCAGAAAATCCTATTACAGTTCAGGTCAAAGAGATGGGCAGATGTTGAAAATTCAATTGATTCATGATTGTTTAGTAACCACAACATTAAGAAATTCCAACATCAAGCCTACTTTCAAGCAAAAGATGCAGTAGTTATCGATTTATAGATCTCAACGACAAGGTTGATAATACCTCATACCTGCCCAATTGCTTATTGATCCAATTAAGCAAGTGTTCAGCTGTCCGTCCATCATCAATTACACGTATTTCACTTTTCTCTTCTTTAGGCTCCCAACCACCAGCTACAAATTTGGAAGGTGGGCCCCAAAATAGCATGGGATAATGAGATATAGAAAATCGATCGCAGAGTTTATTATTTATCTGTTCTGCCAAAAAAGTTAAAAGGGAATAGTCACTAAGTCATGCTCTTAACTTCAGTAGAATAAGGTATTTAACCATAGAATAAAGAATTATTAATAGATAAAGCTAAGTTTAACAGCATGACACGTCGGAATAGTTGCACTAAATCACAACCCCCTTTAACCAATCCTTTATTAGAAATATAAACCATCTTATATATAAACAGAATAATATGACTATTTTTTAAATTTAGTTGTCTAAGGCCTCATCTATACTGGAGTCCAAATTCAAAAAATCACACTGCACAACAATGATTTTCAGTTATCAATTTATACATTTCTTCCACGCAAATATATCTCCCTCGCATACCAACAACTCTTTAGAACATATAAATTTCCATACTTTTTACCGATGGCAAGCTTTTAGCAGAATCACAAGTTCCACATAACATTAAGAGCTAGCTCATGCTTTATCAAATACTTATATATCACAACCCCGTAACCAAATCCTTTTTAGAATTAAACCAATGCTAGTATATAAACAGAATAGATATGACTATTTTTAAATTTAAGTTTCTAAGGCCTCAATCTATACTGGATGTCCAAATTCAAAAATCACACTGGCACAAAGCAATGATTTTCACAAGTTATCAAATTTATACATTTCCCTTCCACGCAAAATATATCTCCTCGCATACCAAAACTCTTTAAGAACATTTATAAATTTCCATACTTTTTACGATGGCCAAAAGCCTGTTTAGCAAATCATCAATTCCCAATAAATTTAAGAGCTAGCGCTCATGCTTTATCAATACTTTTATAATATAATAGTATATATATATATTATATATTATATATCAGGGAATAATACCATGAAAGCATGTAACTTGCTTAAATGAACACAAGTAACAACTTATGCTTGCAGGAAAAAAAAAAAACACATTAAACTAGTAAAACTGAAGCAATTTATTACGCTTTTGGTTTCTCGCAATAGTGGTTTCCAGGATATGCAAAGAAAAGAAAATAGAATGGTAATATGGCGGTTAAATATCCAAAAACTAAGCTCCTTCTCAAGTAAAAATATAGCAACAGCATAACTTTGGTAACTTTGTAATGGGCACATGAGAGAAAATTCCCAAACTTTACATGCTTTTTCAACCGTACTCACTTCTTCTATAATTATCAATTGGGTCTATCAACTTGAGTTTCAAATTCGTAGTAATTGGAGCCAAGAGACCAAATGCCTGGTTTCTCTCGTTAAAGCATGTGACCTGTTAACACAGCCTAATCTAACAATTTCTGTGGTAAATATGACAAAATCTAGCTAATTGAGAATAAAAAAGATAATTTTGTTTCTTTATATTTCAATTTAATTTTGTTTCTTTATATTTCAATTTCTTAGCATGAAAGAGGAAATTAAAAGAAAAACAACAAATTTCTCACTTTCCTTCACCTATTCAGCCAGGCCAGCCTACTCAGCTTAAAAATTGTTAAAATAATCCAACTCAACAGGGCACACCGTAGTGAGAGAAACTAGGAGATGGTCACAATTGTTATAAATTCTAAAGTTCATGGAACCTCTATAATTTTAAAAGAAATGGCCACAATGACAAATACGAGTGTGAGTTAGAAATTTTTTCTATTTTAATTTATTGCTTGTGTAAAAAATTATAGGTAATAACGGCTGTACTTGGCAGCATCAAGTATGATTTATCATTGAGAAAAAGAGAAGGAAACCTAAAGTCAATTGCTTCATTGGGCCTGGGGTGCCTGGAGGATAAAAGAAATCCCTTTATTGCAGGTTGATAAAGTCACTAACGCCATAGAATCCCAGATGCAGTATCAGTCAATTAAACACATTACTCTTCCATAGGAAAAAGAATTCAACATTAAGTATGTTATGCATCAAACATATTTGTCGAAATATTAAAAGAAAAAAAGAAAAAAATTCCTCATAATTATTTCATACGGTTAAATAAACATGGTCTTTCAATTTATTTCTTATTTGATTTTTGAGGGTATAAACTTCTCCAAACTACTTCCAGTGTTCCCGTTCAAAGGGAAAGCTGGAACTTGCCATAAAGCCAGAAAAACCCAACTTGACTTTTTATGGAAACTACAAAATTTCAGTTCACAAAAGAAATAATTGGATAACTTCAAGAATAGAAGTATTCCATGGCATGTAGGGAAGAAATATAGAAGATAGTCAATATACCTTTGATGCACAATCTACCCTTGCCATCAACACAATACCAGGATGCACTGCATCAGGTCCATTGAAAAGTCTTGCAACTTTTTCATAATGTGGCTGTATATTTGAACCTCAAAAGCCATAAAAATTAAGGAAATCTTCATGTAAAAGTGTCAGGAAAAAAAAATATTCCATACAATACCTTATAATTTCTGCAAGCAGGGCACCTGAAAAAACAGCAATTACCAGAACATAATGTCATATAACTTACAAAAGTTGGCACAAAAGCAATGCATCACTAATACATAAATCATATAGAAAATAAATTTTATGGTCATTACACACATGGGTGTTTTATTTCATGGAAGGACAGAAGATCTATGGAATTAACTACAGATACTCTATTTACACTATTGCATGAATTACTACTAGGAAAAATTCAAATTAGTTCCCAAAATTAGGGTCTTATCCAATAATAGTCTAAAATTTCAATACCCACATTTAACTAAACATAAAAAATTTTACTTTCAAAATGAAACCAGCCACTATAGGTTCTGCTAAAAATGAAATGTTCTATTAGTTATTATGCGCTAAAATTCATATAGGAAAGGTCCACATTTTATTTACTTTATATGATGCAAAATATAGGACCAGAATAAATACTTCTAATCTTACTTATATAGATGTTACCTTCCATAGCAGAGACCAATTTTTTCAGTATTTTAAAAATCACTCCAAAGATCTTACCTCATTTTCATAACAAAAATATGTTTTTACCTTTAAAATGCTGACAGACAGAGATGACATGAAACAGACTTTGTCAGTAGTAATTGAGACAAACATGGCTCTATAACAACTTAATAGCTAAATCAAACACGCAAAGGAACCACAGAGAGATTGAAAAAGTGAAGCAGGCAAGTTACTAAGTTTTCCATAGAATCTATGAGAATGAATGATTATTCCCACCCTATGCCACAAGTGGCATACCACATAAAAGATTCAAAGAAGCAACTAATGTAAGCATTAATTGCAATTGATGTAGAAAATCCAAATTTTATTCATTTCACCATGCACATATTTCTTTAAATGGTTTGTCCTCTTTAACAAACTTAGCAAACATTATTCTATTAGTCTAACTGTTCCATACAAAAATTGATACGAAAACTAATACATAACCAACAAGCTGGGAAAAGTTTTAAATGTAAGTTACGACACTGATATGAAAAAGATGTGCACATTGAGAACCTATAAAACAAGAACTTCACGTTTCAGGTTTTGCCAAACTACCCTTTTCCTTATTATAAGATAAGTACAAAATTCTGGTCAACCTCAACTTGCACATATACACTCTATAGCTAGCGCCTATGCACTTAAAACTCTCTCTCTCTCTCTATCTCCATTCTTCCACAGCTGTAACCATCTATTGCTTGACGGATCAATAATTGGATTGTTGTTTGTTGAACATGACTGATCATTGTACAAAAGTTTACAAGCTAACTAGATGATCCAACTAATGAACAAAGAGGAAATTCAATAAGGATTCAGTTGTACAAATCAAGCCTACTCACAAATAAACCTATGCATAAGAAAATTAATAAACTGAAGAGTTAAAATCCAATAGTCACTGCGAATCCAAAACTAAACAAATCTGAAGATTTAGTTCAAACCCACAAGCAAATACGTTAGATAGGTTAATATAATCATTTTCAATCTACCCAATTTCAGTGCCAGTAACAGTTTCACTACTATACAGCTAAAATCAACAAATACACAACAAAAAAAACAAAAAGAAAAGAAAGGACAGCACTTTTTAGAGTTTAAAAGAGAACTGACCAGTGAGCAAAGAATTCAACAATAGCAAAAGTAGCTGGAGTGTCTCTAAGAACTGAATCAAAATTGGTAATATTCAAATCGACAGCGTAATCAGGCTTGACGACATTGTCGCTGCTACTTATATCTCGAAGGATCGAACGGGATCCCGAAGGAAACGACGCCGCTTTAAAGCTAAGAAGTAAAAGCAAATTCAAAGACAGAATCCGAAATATCTGAGACATGGGCAATAGATTCAAAAAACGAGAAGAGAGAGGGATTAGCTTCAGTTAGGATTTCCGTTGTTTTCAAAAAGAGAAGAGATCTGAAAAGAGCGTTAGAGGGGTTGTTGTTCCGGTGGTGATGGCTGGTGGGTGGGTTTAGAAAATGAGGAGTGTAGGTCAAAATTCCGGCAGAAAAGGAGTTCTTCGAGTTCATGCACTTTCGCTCTAAAAGTACCATATGGTTTTTATTTTTGGCTGTGGGTCCATTTTTCCATTTAAGCATTTTCAAGTTTTGACACGTAAAATCTTCCGGTTGACGTGAAAGTATTTAAAATGTAAAATCTATTTATAGATAAATTTTTCATATTTAAAGTTTATTTATTTTTATTTCTTCAAATACTTTATTAGCATAAGTAGTTTTTTTTTCTTTTTTTTGAAAAGCGAAAATTAATAATTTTATTGTAAATTTCGGATTGTTTAAATTTATAAAATTTATTTATTAATTTATATTTTTAAAAAAAATTAATTTAATTATATTTGAATCAATAGACGTAACTTTATAGAATTTAATTTTTATTTTTTTATACCGAATACAAAACTTAAGTTTTATAAATAAATTGTATAAAATTTTATGAAATTAATTTATTTCAAATAAGGACTAATAGATGATAATAGGTATATTTAAATTTTAATAGAATACTAAAAACAGATTGCAGGTTACACAACATGAGTAATTTTTCCCTTAACTCACTAAATTGATAAAAATCCACATAAGTGAGATAACCGATCAAACCACAACTTGATTAGTTTTGTTTTCCTTTGTTTAGAAAGGAAAACAATCTTACATGAAAATAAATGTTATTGTTGGAGATTGACAATTGTTTTCTTACTTAAATTATAAGGTATTTTGTCACGACCCGTTTCCGTGGGCCGGACCAACACTAGGGCCTAGGTAAACTTAAGGCCCCTGAAGCCCGTAGTAAGCCTAAATTATTCAATCTGTCTACATGATTCTCCTAATTTCAACAAAACAGTAAAGTTTGAGATACAATCCGCATCAAACCCAACAAACTTGATAGGTTTTTGTCCTTGTTTAGAAAGGAAAACAATCTTAGCATGAAATAAATGTTATTGTTGGAAGATTGACAATTGTAAATTTCTTACGTCTTAAATTATAAGGGTAATTTTGTCACGCACCGTTTTCTCCGTGGTGGCCGGGAACCAACACCTAGGCCCTCCAGGTAGACTTAAGGCCCCATGACCAGCGCATCGTAAGCCTAACATTATTCAATAACTTGTTCTACAAATAATTCTCTTGAATGTTCAACAACCCACGGTAAGCCCATTATGACTTTGAGGCCCATATGACTTAAGATATAAGTTTTATAAAATTTTCAAACATCTGACCCAATATCAAATAATACATAAAATTTAACCAGGGCCTATTCACAATAACAAATAATCACAATAAGGGCTTACTAGTTTACCTACAGTTAATTACACAATAATTAATTTATAGCGTAGTGCTAACAATAAACCCCAATTTAAATACACAACCCTATAATTGCGGAGTCCAAAAAAATCTGATAACAGAATAATTTATACATTCAAAATTAAATATCAAGAATATAAAGTTTACATTTGTAACTCTGCGGAGAAGAGTTTACATTTGTAACTCTGCAGAGAAGATTGCAGAGCTTCAGCCGAATCAGCTGCTTCCTAGTACCTGGAAGGTTTGTTGGGGAGGGGTGAGTTTTGCAACTCAGTGAATAATAATAAATAATACACACCACATACAGTCAAGCAAAATGCACCATAATATACTGAATGAACACACAACAGTCAATCATATGACATTACATCAGCACCCACAAACAATATCACCTTCAAATAATCACATCACGTGGAAATTAGTATTAGTCACCAGTTGCGTCACCTAAACCCTCCGACGAGCCGTTTCCTCTCAAAACAGCCCATCCTCTCAAACATGTGCACCCGGGGCAGCCAATCCCCCATATCTGGCCGACCGGCGTCTGTAATCCTTCACTTGACAGTCCTCTACAATATTTTATTTTACATCTCTCTTTTCTTTTCCATTATTCATTCAACATCATTTCATTCAATTCATTCAGGTTTGCACACGGCGGGCGCCGATCTCCCATTTACCCCGGCCGACGGCCATTTTCATCATTTCATCAGGATCCATATTTAATCGGACTCGTCTTCACAAACCCATTTTTGGTGACCCCACTTTCATCCCAACTCCACACAAACAGAGCACAGTTATATACCCACAGCACAATAATCAAACAATTCATTTATATTAATACACCAATTTCATCCAAATGCCCACCAATTATGCATAAGTATAATTATAGGTGATCATAAACATAACAATATATGAGAAAATACCAATATGTTAGAATATATAAAAATGTAATGTTAATGCAAATGCAGTGTTGATATGGCATTATTTTATTATTACTCACTGTGTGGAGAACGAAGCTCCTAGCATTTGATTCTTATCCGGCGAGAGCCACTAGATGGACCCGAGCGATCTAAGCAAAGTTAAAAATGACATCGGAAAAAAGAATAATATTCAGATAAAAAATATTTATTCATCACACTACTATTCTTAACCTATTTAATTTCTATCAATAATTTACTCTCTATAATTAATTAAATTTCTATAATAAATTTTATTTGCTACCGCAATTCATTTTATTTTCTACCGAAATTTCGACAACATCTCCCCTAAAAATTGGACTTTCCACCTGTTTAAAATATCAATAATTTTATCTAATAACTCCAAATCCGGCCCATCCATCGGTCAATCAATCAATTAAATTTTCCATCCTCCATCAATTTAATTTTTTCCCGTCCTCCACATTTATCCACATCAACTATATTAATTTTTCTTTAATTCCATAAATCATTCCATAAATTTCATAATTTCCAACAATTTGTATTTATTACCTACCAGAATTTAATTTTAATTAATCAAATATATTTTTATTAATCGACTCATCAACACTAAATTAAATTAATTCAACTAATCAAATTTGCTAAATTAAATTACCTAATCAAGATTACTAAAATTAATTTAATTAACTAAAATTACTAAGTTAAATTATACCCAAATTACTAAAATAAATTCTGAGAATTAGTAAGAATTGCTCTATACCCCAAGTATAATTTTTGTTGAATTTTGCTAGATCGGAAAGGCTTACGCGTGCTAGATCGGAGCTACGCGCATCGAGACTGCGAGCAAGTGGCGCGATCTACTGGACAGCAAGGATGGTGGCGCGATGAACTCGAGGAGCTGTGGCGCTGCGATTTGGCTGAGGATGAAGCGCTGCTGCAGGTGGTGCTGTGATGGAGATCCACTCGAGCTGGTGCTGCATGCGGCTGCGACTGGCATGGCGCTGGAGCTGCGTGCGGCTGCGACCGGCGTGGCGCAGGTGTTGGTGGTTCGCGTCCCTGCTGTTGCTGGCTGAGGTCGACGCAGGCGCAGTCACACTGGCTAAGGTCGACGCAGGTGCAGTCACAGCAAGAAAGAAGAAGAGAGGAAGAAGGAAAGGGAAAGAACGAAAGAAAGAAAGAAGAAAGAAGAAGAGGAAGGAGGAGGCGCTGCTGTGATGGTGAGGAGTAGAGAGGTGCAGCGCTGGAAAAAAAAAAGAAAGGGAATTTTCTAGATAGATGGTTTGAGTCGAACCGGTCCGATTCGACCCAAATTCTTTGATTTTCTATTTTTTGGTTTTTCGAACCTTTTTTTTTTTCAAATCGGTTTTCGCGTTCGGTTTCTCACAGTGTTCGCATTTAAAATATTAAAATAAATTTCCAAGGCTGTTCGGTTTATTAAAAATTTAATTGGAAAAATCTTGTGAAAATAAAAATTCGAGTTGTTTTCATAATTTAGGAAAATGTTAAAGTTTATTACTACATTTTAATTTCATGATACTTGTCACATTTGGAATTTCAGTCACCTGAGAAAACTTGTTAAATTTGTCTATGTTATAATAAATTATTGCATAAATTGCACTACATTACCTTTAATTTAATACGCATTAAAATATTAAAATAAATTTCCAAGCTGTCGGTTTATTAAATTTAATTGGAAAATCTTTGAAAATAAAAATTCGAGTTGTTTCATATTTAGGAAAATGTTAAAGTTTATTACTACATTTATTTCATGATACTTGTCACATTTGGAATTTCACGTCCCTGAGAAAACTGTTAAATTTGTCTATGTTATAATAAATTATTGAGTAAATTGACTACATTACCTTTAATTTAATATTAATTTTCTGAGAAACCATCAAATTGAAAGAATAATTATTGATCATATACAAAGGGTAAATATGGAAGAAAGACATTTATTACTCCTTAAAACCACAAATGTAACAAGTATTTTATATTTTGAAGCAAACTATTTTCTCAAAATTATGAAATGAATATATTAATTAATTTGGGTTATTTGGATAATTTAATAAAAATAAGTGAAATTTTCAGTTTTCTTCGTTATTTTCTCTCCAAATTGGAGAGATTCAAAATATATGGACCTGGGTAAAAAATAAATAAAATATTAATTCCTCCAATATTTTTCTCCTATTTCCCAAACAAGGAAAAATACCTTTCCTAAATGTTTTCCATAATTATTTTCTTTCTTTCAAAAAAATACACCATCAAAACAAATGATAAAATCTCAAATTCCTTTATGCTTTTTAAAGATCTATTCGGTAAAATTAATTATTTTTGTAGCAGTTAACTGTTTTAATAACATTTAGCCATTAATTGTTTGAGTAATTTTTTCATAAAACACTAAAAGCTAAACGTTACAAGAATTAACTTTTTATAAAACGCTACATTAACTACTAAAAGCTAGTTTAAACGCTATATTACCGAACACTCTAAAAAATAACTTTTAATTAAATACTTAAAAATATATTTAAATAATAAAAAAAAAGATATATGATTAAAAGTTGAAAAAATTGGAAATTCTACACTGTAAAATAGGTAACTAGCCATCTTTTTAATGGTGTGCACTAAGAGTATCCTCTACCTAAAACGTGAAGGTTAGTCTCTTTGAGATATTTTCAAATGTTGAAACGATGACCTACTCCAAGTGAATGTTATAAATATTATTGAAATTAGTCTCTACATTTTATTTATTTACCATATTTTCACTAGGAACGATAAAATCAACCCAACTTGAAGATATGCACATGACTTAAATCCAGTCAAATCCGAATTTTTAGATTTTGACTAAATATGAGTAGGGTTTGGGTAAAACTTGAAAAATTTTATTTCGAGTGTAGATAGAGTATGGATATTGTTATTATACATTCAAACTCGAACTCGAACCTATATGCGAAATTTAAATTTAGAGAGGTTTAAAAATTTATTATTTTTTAAATTATATCATGGAATTTTTAATAAATTAGAATATTTGTAGTAAACTATCCATGTAAATTACAAAATTTCTTTTATAATGTAGTGCAGTCAAAAATGATTTCACCCTGGTTTTCATATATTTATTTGAATTCGTCAAATGTTTAAAATTTTAGATTTGAATTTTAAAATTCAATTTGATTTAAATTTCAATTTCATAAATAATGAAGAAAATAATAATGATAATGGTAATTTGGAGTATTCTAAAATAATATTTTTATGTTTAATTATTTTTTATACGAGGTTTTTAGTTATTATATTAATTGATTTTTGTTATAATTACACTTGAAGAGTCTACCACCGTTACACTTGAGTGAAGATAAGAAAAAGAATTTTGTAGTTAAAATTTTAATGTATCATTATTTGAATATTTATTTATGTATTAATTTATTTTCATATTTTTTTATGTACCGCATAAATCATTTGGATTAATTTTATTTTTTAATTTAATATCATCTAATTTTTAAACAATATATGACTAAATGGATATCCATAGATAATGGATGTCCATAAACCATAGATAATGGATCCGTGGATGTATCTAAATCCATTGAATTTCAGAATGGGTAAGAAGCATCATGTTGGCTTTGAAGCAGCTGCATGATACTTGCATTTTGTAGACGAGGTTCGATTATTCCCATTTGTTTATATCAATCGGTGGCGGTATATGAAGGAAGTATAATATTTCTTATCGGTAGGATATAGGGATTGAGAACGAGACGGGGTTTGGACATGGGTATTGTACTCTCCGACCCGAATCCTACCGTTGTCATTCATAATTTTTACATCACATCATTCGTCCTGTAATCTGGTATGCTCCAACATAGGAAATCACAATCAACAACAATAATAGATAGGGTAGTGCACCTTCCACAACTCTAAAAAAATCACATAATTCATCAAAATGCCAATAATCTTATTTGTTGATGGAATACATTAAATCCTAAACAATACAAATACATACCATTCATTTAAGGATGAAAGCAGTATGAATATTTTTGAAAACTTTCGAATAAATTGCTTAGTTATAAATATTTTTTACGCTAAATAATCTCATTTTTGCTGGTGGTTGACTACTAAAAGTTGGATATTGTGCAAAAGACTAGGATAAAGCTTGACTTTGATTTGGAGTTTTACAATCAACTATTCATAAATGTATAGTGTTTTAGCATAAATTATATGAGAGGTTGATTTTCAATATCATTGATGCATTGAATTTGGTTTGTTTAGTGTATAAGGAGAAGAGGTGAAACGTATTGCATTGTGTATTTAGTGCTAAGAATTAAATTTTTAGATGGCATTATTATGTTCTTTTTGTAGGGATTTAGTTATTGAAACGATATACGAGATGACGTGAAAAGGTAGAAGACGTGAAGAGAAGAAGGAAAATGGTTCAATCTATCACGATTTTGATTGTGATTCCCCTTTTCACAGTCTCATCGATAGCAGTGTTCTCAGTAGTGGTGATGCCAGCACCAATTTCACGACTCCTCGAGCAGTAGCAGCAACAGTGGCGATTGTTGCTCTGGTAGTATTATAGAAGAGGAAGAAGCAAGGGTCGATCTTCTCCACATATTAAATATGGTGTTCTATCAGATGTATCAGTTTCTATCAATTAGTTGGTTATTGATGACATAAATTTGTCTTCATCTTGATTACAGATATGTTAATTTCATTTCTTCTATATACTGCAATGAAACTGAACTCAGAAATAAATAAAAATAAAACGAAATTATATGTTCAAAAGCAAAAGTCGAAGAAATAGAAACATCCCTAAATCAACTGGATCAGCCAAAGCAAGCAAAAACAGTAGCTTTAAATACCTGCAGAAAGGAAAAATACGTTCTTCGGCAGGAATAAAGCAATTTTAAAGTTTGCCTTTTTTTTTTTTCCGGTTAGAGAGTTGAGATGGAAGAAGGAGAAAGTTGAGATGTACAAGATGATGGTAATTTCATCTTTTTATAGGAAAAGTATAAATTTTGGATGGAAGGGCAGTAGTTTAACGGGAATAAAAACCAGAGAAAAAGTCGGGTAATTTTAAAAATAAGATGACAAACTAGTTAATTTTGACAAAATATAGGGAGAAAACCGTAATTCTGGTTTCAAAGGCGACATTAGGCCTACGGATCCATTTCATGAAATCCAACCGAACGCAAATCAATTCAATTGTTTGGACCTGTAAGTCAGACTCAGCCCAACAAATTATACAGCCACAGCATTCAAGAAAATTGAAAAGGCCAACGACATTTCAAAATCAATTTACATTTACACGCCAACTAGAATATTCGAATTTAGGGTTCATCTCGATCCCATCCACCAAGTCCTTGAAATTCGATCAAATTGGGGCCAATTCTTTTTCGTCTCTCATTTCTCCAATTCAAATTGTTTGAAAGGTACACTTTTCGATTAATTTCTTCTTCTTTTTTAGTTTTGTTTCTTGTGTTGTTAATTTGTAGAAATGTCGATATATCGATTATTCCTCATATTAGTTGTGCAATTAGCATTAAATGGAAATGTTTAGATGAAATGTGCTTCTTATTATTTGTCTTCTTTCAGGAATTTTAGAGACGCGTGAAGTCTGTTTGAGAATACATTATGAAGTTCTTAGAATACACTCCTCTTGAAAGGTAATTCTTTTAATTTTTACTTTGCTTCCTTTTTGAATTTTTAAATAATTAGCTGATTTTTTAACCAGTAAGATGGTGCCTTTTATTTGAATTTGAGTTTGATTTTGTGCCTTTTTATGTATTTTATTTTGATATTATGCTTTTTATGTATTTTTTTTTTAAGAATAAATGAGTTCTTGAGCAATTTAAATCTTGGAGAACGGACAATCAAGGGATGTCTTGAAGCTTACTCTTGTAAGTTCGAATTTATAACTTAAATTAAGAGGCATTTGGAAGTTTTTAAAGAAGGGGAATGTGATTTCTTTTTTTTGTTTCCTTTTATATTTTGTGAAGGCAAACACACTGGAACAGACAAGAAGCTTTCTCTCAGTTTGGAGCACGAGGTAATTCACTTGTTTATCATATGTTTTTTGTATTTGAATAACATGAATTTTTATGAGAAATAATATCACTTTCAATTATAATTTTTAAGATTGTTATCAAAATTATGTTAACTTTTCTGAAAATTAGAATAGGATGGCTAGATGATATCCATTTCCATTGCCAATCTATTATCAAGGTGAATCAAACTTGCCTTCAAAGGTGTCAGGTTAATTAATAATTAGGTTAGTATCTATATATGTTCCTATGATGAGTGCACAGGCGATGCATGCATTTTTGTCTTATATATTATATATTTTTTTTTTTGGGGTTGGGGTTGTATAAGCAAGTTAAATAATTTATTGAAAATAATATTTAATCGTCTTCAGTGATCGTACTAGGGATTCATTTCTTTTCTTGTATTATATCCTATTTTGCAGACAGCAAACAGCAAAACTATTATTGCTTTGTTAATTTGGCTTACCATCTTTCCTATTGGTGTACAACAGAGTTTCAGTCCATTGTTTCTAGATTCTTAACATTTTTTCTTTTTGGGTTTGGACTGGCAATAATTGGCTCTGGTAATCATTTTTTTTTCCAGATCCTTGATTATCTTGGGAGATCTTCAGACACCGATTCATCCTCTCCTGCTGAATACTTATTGAGCAGATCCAGGTTGTGACTGTTGCTTAGATGGATTCAGGAAATGCTAGATGTTTATATGATATTTCTGTAACTGGTTTTCCTTTATGCTTATTCCAGCCGAAAGACATTGATTTATCTTGTTCTTACACTCTATCACATGTATCCGGATTATGACTTCAGGTAACACCATACTTTATGTTGTATCTCACATTTTATACCATTGATTGTGAAAAGAAGATTATGGGTAATGCCATTATCAGCTTCTTGGGCAACATGGCATCCCGCTTTATAATCTTCTTTTAACATGTATCTGGATTATGACTTCAGGTAACACCATACTTTATGTTATATCTCACATTTTATATCATTGATTGTGAAAAGAAGATTATGGGTAATGCCATTGTCAGCTTCTTGGGCGACATGGCATCCCGCTATATAATCTTCTGTTAACTATAATGGGAGTGTTGTCAAAAGGTTTGACAGACGGTTCACAGAACTGTTGCTCTAGGAGGAGCTGAGAGTTCAATTCTCTCCATTTCCCAAATTCATTGTTGGCCATTATTGTGGTTGGCCTTTTCATTCATATAACTTCTCTTAAAATTTGGTTGGTATGCTTTCTATTCATTTCAGATTTGTACTCGCTTTGATATATTGTTCTCATTATGCTCTCTTTATATTATGATATTGCGAATGCATCTTTGTGATTTTCAGTGCCATGAAAGCTCACCAGTTCTTCACAGAGGAAACTTGGGACACTTTCAAGCAGATTTTTGATACTTATATGTTTGAAGCATCGAAGGTACCAGTTAATTCTTTTCTCATTCATGTCTGCAAAGAAATGCAATCAAAATCTCTCTCTCAAAAGGAGATTAGCATGATATAGTTATTATTATTTCTATTATGATTTTTCTTTGGTCGATTGCATTTATTGTTGGCTAGATAAAGAAATTGGCTTGTTTGCATTTTTTGCATGATTGCAATCAGGTTTAACACTCTACTGTAACCACCATTTTGTCTTTGTTGTATATTTGTATCTGTCTAATTTCTCATCGTTAGTTGTTGCTATGTTTGAAATATTTTGCCTTTATCTTGAGCTTGTCGAAGAATAATATTCTTGCTGATTCTTGTGTGAATTGGTGACTGGCACGGAAAACCTAGTTTGACCAGGTTGAAATGATAGCTGGTGTTTAGATAGGTTGTTGCCTGATTTTGAGAGAATTGTTGCATTTGTTTCTATATTTCCTTTGTGAGAGAAATGTATAGGAGAAATAACCTGGTTTTCTCTTTTTCTCTCTCTCCCCTCTTTTTCAATTGAGATATGAAGCCCAAATGAATGGCCTTCTCATCACTATTTGCTATCTTCACTTTTTTTTTTTCTCTTTCTCTATTTGTAGGAATGGATCAATGAAAATGAGGATAGCTCATTGTTGGAAACATTGTTCAAGGCTCTAGATGAGGTGAGCATACTTTTAAAGACACAAAGGCAACTTGTATCAAGAGGTCATGTTATGACATATTGCAATGCAGGTTGTAAAACTAGGAGAATGCGAAATCTACAGCTATGACCCTGATTCTGATGCAGATCCATTTCTAGAGAAAGGAGCAATGTGAGTATTCATTCATATCAGCTTTATGACCTGACATAAGTTGCTAGTTATTGGCTATTTCTACAATGAACTGCCCACATCAACCCTTCGATGGCTTCCTAAGTAATGAAAAAGGAAAGGAAGAAAGGAAAATGAGTTATTAACTTGTTCATGGTTGTTTCTTACAGCTGGTCTTTTAGTTTCTTTTTCTACAATAGAAAACTAAAGCGTGTCGTCAGCTTCCGTTTCTGTTGTGTAAGGTGGGTTAATATGATCTTTTTTTTTTTTTTTTTTTTTTCCGTTAATTAACTTGTTCATGGTTGTTTCTTACAGCCTGGTTCTTTTTAGTTTCTTTTTCTACAATAGAAAACTAAAGCGTGTCCGTCAGCTTTCCGTTTCTGTTTGTGTAAGGTTGGGGTTAAATATGATCTTTTTTTTTTTTTTTTTTTCCTTTTTTTTTTTTTTTTTTTTTTTTCCCTTTTTGAATTGTCCTTGAAACTACATTGATTGTTGTTTATGACAGTAACTTAGTGGCCGAGGGGTTTCTTATTGACAATTCAAGTTATGAGGAAGATGAGGAAATATTTGATGGCATGGACATGTGAGTGCTAACAGGTCATAGGCTGTTAGCATGATGTTCATATGTGAAGGCTTTTGTTATCAATCAGGAGTTATGTAGTGCCATACTCATGGCACCTAAGTTGTAGGATTAGCTTTTCAACTTCCGGCATGTAATTACTATAATCTTGTAGTTAAGAAAGATGATGTCCATAAAACGTGTATCTGAAATCTATTGCTAGGCTTGTAATTAGATTTAAGGATTCTAGTCTCTAGTAGACATTCATCTCTTTTCTCGTTCTTAAATAGTCCTATTTTGTGTACTTGGTGTACGACGTGCATGTATGTGCTGTGTGCATATGGAAGAATAATTTGCTGGCTCGATAATTTAGATCCACTAATCGCCTCCTCGGATATGATTTGTTACATTTATGAGCGTTAGTCTGTCACATCTGAAGCAGTGTGTCTATGTTTCTCGTTTCTGATTTATGAGCATGATATATTCTGAATAGTGGATAAGTGGATGTTATATCCTTGCCTATGTTTCTTAGTTGTCAGAAGTTATTAGAAGACAGCTTGGGATGAAGAATGGTGGTAAGCAAATCTAAAATTAATTAATAAAATTAATGTTTAGTATTCATGTTGAAAATGACTTTTTTTAAGTTCCTTTTGCTATTGCTAATCGTGGATGTTGAGCTAAAATTAACAGTAATTATACTGGCTCAATAGATGTAGCATTTGCAATATGATGTTTATGATTTATGAACACAAAGCTGATTTTGAAAAAAAAAAAAAAAAAAAAAGTGTTTAGTATCATGTCGAAATGAACTTTACAGCCTTCTGCTAATTGCTAATCTGTTGTGGATGTCGGAGCTAAACATTAACCAGTAACTCTATTACCCTGGCTCAATAGACTGTAGCATTGCAATATGACGTTATGATTTTCATGAACACAAAGCTGATTTTGAAAAAAAAAAAAAAAAAAAAGCACAGTTAAAAGAAACTAATTTTTAAAAAAAAAAAAAAAAAAAAAAGTAAAAGAAACTAATTATTGAAATCTATTCCAAAATCAGCTTTAGGTCCGTAAAAACAATATTGCAAAAATACATTATTGACTTTGTGAAAAATTGTTCTTATCAACGATAATAATGCGCAGACTAGTTCTTGTAAGCATTTTTACTTGTTGAACAAAAAAAAAAATAGAAAAAAAAGAAAGAGATCAAACCTATTGTTTAGTTGTTTTTAATTTGTTTTACTATCAGAATATGTCAAATTCACCTTGAAATAATTTTTTGTATTAGTATTTTTATTATTAATAATTACAAAATTTAGGGTTCTGCATGCTTTTTTTCTTCCCTCTTAACTGGGTAACTTAATGTCTGATCCATTGCAATGTCATTAGTTAATTTTTTTTTTTTCTCTTTTGAAGTGACCTGAAGTGAGTTACACACATTTTAAAAACAGAAGTGAGCTTAGGTAAGCAGAATAAAGGTTCTATAAATCATTGCATTCCTTTAATTCACTGCCTACCAACATCACCACTTTAACTTATAAAGTACTTTAGAGAGGTACACTTGTTCATTTGGCTATTATTATACTAGTCGAAAAGAAAAAAATACATATATATGTTATTATTATTAAAGTATTATCAAAATTTACTTTTTTCATTATCAACCAACAACTTACATGTGTACTCCTATCGCTTTCCTCCCTTTCTGCCATCTTTGTAGTAAAGCATAAATGATAAATCTACATGTTGTGACATGGTCTTTTAGTTGCACTTATCTTTTTCTTTTTTTTTTTTTTTTTTTTTTTTTGGACAGAATTGAACTTCTGCCCTTGGAAAATCGTCCTGTATTTGATTCACTTTAAGCTCTAAGCAGACTTTTAGTCACATTAGTAGTTAAAACATCAATATAAAAAAACCATATATCCTGTTCTTCATTTTAATGAACATTGATGATAACATTTTCTTGTCAAAAATCTTAATTTCAGCATTAATGACCTTTCTTATTCCGAAATTATTTTCAAGAGTGACAAACCACATTACAAAATTCACGCCAAATCCGATTTTCATTTCCACTCACATTTTTAAAATGCGACTCATCACATAACAAAATTATTTCTTTATTCTTTTTCTTTTTTTTTTTTTTTGGACAGAATGAACTTCTGCCCTTGAAAAATCGTCTGTATTTTATCACTTAAGCCTCTAAGCAGACTTTTAGTTTATTAGTAGTTTAAAAATCAATATAAAAAAAAATGATATTCCTTTCTTCCATTTTAATGGAATTGAATGTAAAATTTTTTGTCAAAAATCTTAATTTTCAGCCATTAATGACCTTTCTATCCGAATTATTCAAGAGTGACAAACCAATTACAAAATTCACGCCAATCCGATTTCATTTCCACTCAATTTTAAATGCGAACTCATCACATAAAAAATTATTTCTTTATATAAAGAAACAATTTTGATTCTCTTGTAATGTGCTCTTCTTTGAAATTCAACATCATAGGAACTTTCAAATTTTCAATTTATTTATAATATTTCTTTTCTAGTACATGCAGTGCAGCTGTACAGTATTAGTTTAACCCATACCTGTGTGATTAAAGTGAAGCAAAATCACACATACAAATAAATATATTATAGTAAAAAAATAGTGTTGTGTACACATGTCAACTGATGGCATCAAGTTAACAGAGAATCCATTCAACTTTATGTATTCTAAAAGTTTTTATTTCTTTTCTTTTTTTATTGTAATATGTGAAAGGCAAACCTTTGTCCCATAGGACAGGGGTTTTCTTGTCAAAGTACTACGTGGTAGGATTATAGAATTTTAAGAATATATATTGTAACAATTCATGTTTGTATGCCACTTGTTCTACAAAAACTGTCTATGTCAGATCTCTTGCACTTACCCATTTTAATTTTATTTTTCTTTTTATTTTATTATTATTAAATAATACATACACCATAATCAGATCTTCCAAATTATCTCACCTAACCATTTTATTTTGGTTCATTATGATACTTCCATTGAGTTAGATCCAAATCTTCTTTAATTATAATCATTCTAATTAATATATAATTTTAGTTTAATCATGATAATGGTTATCTTAATTTGTTTCTTCCTATGAAATATTAGTGCAGCATAAAGCTTTTGATCATTCATTGGTTCTTTGCAAAAGAAAATGATATGTTTTATTTTGATTAGGAAATACTATTTTGTAAATTACATTTCTGACATATTATTATATTGAAAAATAAAAAGGAAAAAAGCGAATTACGTTCAGATTAATAAATGTATTTAGGTACTAAACTTTTTTTTTTAATATATATATATATATAGAAGTTACCAAACTATTATTTTTTATTGTAGCAAGCTTTTCTTTTGATATTTTCTAGGGTTGGGAAAATGGTTTGGTTAATTGAAAACTGAATGAACTTAACCATATTGGTTTGGTTCAAATTGGTTTTTAAAAAAACAAAGAAAATCAAGAAAAAAAACAGATGAAACCAAATTAAATCAATTTGGACACAGTGTCATTCAAAGAAAATTCAGTAAACCTCAATTTAGAGTAATCCGGTTAGATTTAAATTGAACCGATGGCATGTCCACCCTTAATATTTTCCAAGCTCAGTACATATATGTATGCTTGACCAATCACTCTATTACTCTTCACTTAGCCATTTATTCCATTAAGGTAAGGTTTCCCATATCAGAAGGAAAGTCTTTATTCGAACCATGATATATATATATATATACACACTTAATTATGCTTAATTAGTAAATGCAATTAATAAAATAATATACATTATAATATGGGAGACTTATAGATGGTTTAAATTCTAAAAATAATCTGGTTGACAGCTGATAATTAAGTACATAGATCATAGATGTACTTGTCAAGAAACTAAATAATGCATAATTCTTTTCCTTTTTTTTTTCTTTTTTTTTTTTTTAAGTATGAGATTATTGCATTAAAGCTGGCCGGCACCTAAAGGCATGCACATGATTACATGACTGCTGAGACAAGCTCCTAGCATTCATCACAATTTTAACATCTTGAAGTCAGTTAATTAATTTAGTAAGGGTACCAATGGAAAATAAGGCAAATGGCAATGACATGTGAATTGGGGAGATAGAGGCAAATCTTTTCAAATTAATAAATATAACACCAATGATTAATTAATTTAATATACATTATTAATTAATGACAAAAGTAACATTGGTAAAATATAATAAATAAATACAAGGAAACTCCTGCAACCAATTGTTGCTTATACCCTCATCTTCTATATATATAGCAAAAGGCCATAAACTCAAAAACTACATAAATGGCTTCCTCTCTACCATTTTCTTGCAGCTTCAAACTTCCTTGTTTTTGCAGGCTCAAAGAACTCAAATACCTTCAAGTGAGATCGCAAAGCTTTAGTGATGATGGTATTTATATAAATACATATTTATAAGTTGATTATGAGCTTAATAAATTAATTAAGACCACCCCATATATAATTATTATTTTTTCTCTTGATTTTTTTTTTTTTTTAATTTGGACAGGAACATCAGCAAATATTGTGGACTCAAACATGGGAACTCTAAGGGAGAGAATAGCACAAGTGAGAGTGAAGGATAGATTGGAGAAATGTTGCAGTTTGGAGAGCCTTCAAAATGGATGGAATTATGAGTCTGGTTATAATAATAAACACAAGAGATATAGTTTGTTATGTGAGGGATTTGAGATTGTGAGTTTTGCTGGTACTGCACTTGGCTTTGTCTTTCTTAGTGGTTCTCTTTGCTTATGCCTTGTTTCTCTTCTTCTTCATTTATATTACTAATAATAGATATATATATATTAGCATCACAAATTTTTACTTTTTATTAATTATTTTATGTCCTTATTCAATATTTTCCTTTTTTTTTTTCTTGGGTTGCTATATATATAAGCATATTAAGGTTGAATTAGGGTACTGAAAATTGTAGGGTTCTTGATTTGTAGTGTTTGATCTCTTTCAGGGAAAAAAAAGGACCTAGCAATCTAGCTTTTTGAGAGGATATGAAAGTTCCTAATTAGGTTTTAGAGTCTTTAGACTAATTATTAGTGCATATATACACACACACACACGTGTACTTTGATTTTTGTTGTCTTAATTTATGTTTAGGTCTGAGAGTGATAGAACCTAGGAGTGATATTGAGAAAAGACATTTTCAATAGTGCCAATTTTAGATTTTGAATTCTTGGGATAGGATATATGTAAAACCTTCTTAAAAGTGAAGGCTATAGGTTTTGAATCCTTAATTTTACTAATAAAGTTGAACAAATGTAGTTCATTTTCGCTTATCCAACTACGTATGAGAAAACAAAACAAAAAATAAAACAAGAAAATGATATTAAGGCTGATTTCAATAATAACTTTTTAAGTAGTTTTTAGCCTTTTGATCTGTCAAATAGTTAAATTCTATTTTTTATAGTGTTCGGTAATATAACTTTTAGAGGTTAATATAGTGTTTTATGAAAAGTTAATCTATGTAACGTTTAGCTCTTACCGTTTCATGAAAAGTAATACTAAAATAGGTTAATATAGTTAATCCAATAATGACGTTAGTTTATATTTTTATTTGTTTCTTTTTTTTTTTTTTTGAAAATTTCAAACTAGTAATGATGTTTTTTTGTTTTTGAAGTCTAGTAATAATGTTAGTTATTATTACTCTGAAACTATAAAAATTGAGTATCAACAGTTGTTTTCAAATGCAATTAAAAACAATAATAACATTCTTAATATTTTTTTTAGTTTTCCAAATTAATTATTTAAATCAATAAAAATTTTTACATCAATTAAAAATAATTATTGTGATGAATGTTACTGTTTATATAATTAATTAATTAGAGTGAATATTAATGTACTGATTTATATGAAATTTATTATTTATATTTTAATAAAAAAATGACATGTTATTATATTATACATAATAAATATAATTGATATTTGTTATTTATTTTTGTTAAATTATTATGTTAAGGATGTTATAAGAAATAAAGACAAATGAATTTTCATTTAAGAATTTATTCCAAACATAATGAATTTTCATTTAAGGAATTATTTCCAAACATAATTTTGTAGAATTCAACAATGAATTTCTTATTTTAAATCTGTACATACCAAAACATGAACAAATTCCTTTACAAATGAATTCTACAACTATAATTTCATTTGTTTCAAATGAGTATTACTATACAAGTTCAATTTAGAGTATCTGATTAGTGTCACGACCCATTTGACGTGGGTGGAACCGGCACTAGGACCTGGGGTGGGTTAAGGCCCCGAAGCCCGTGTAAGCCCTAACTTATTTAAATCTCACAGTCTATTCATAAATTATGGATTCAGGCCCATTAAACTTATTATAGCATATGCATTTCAAATACAATTCATATATTTAATATGGACTTTATTATTTTATTTACACCAACTTGGAAATACAATTGCCGGAACTCTTACCTTTATATTTACATCGTTTCTATCCTTTAACAGTCTTCTACATAAGTGTCTCAACTCTACAAGGCTTTTCTTTCTTTCTATTACCTGAAAAAAAATAGTAAAGGCAGGGGTGAGCGCCAAACTCAATGAGTAGGGTTAGATAACCCTCTCCACCCACAACAATCACACAGATGCTAAATATTTTTTATCAAGTTACCGTTTAATTATATGAACTCAATGCAGTTGGTCACACCAATGGCAGTACAACAGCAATCACAAGTTAATCCATCACCTTCTACTAATCACATCACGTGGAAATTAGTCAGTGGCACCACCTGAAACCCCAACGAGCCGTCTCTATCACATGGCTCGCCCTCTCAATACATGTGCACACCGGGGACCCGATCCCCCATACGGCCAACTGTTCTAATCCTCACTGACCAGTTTCTATCATTGTTTTCCATTCTTCTCTTTTCTTTCCATACCCACAGGAGGCAACCCGGTTGGTCTACCATCCAATCAGATCATCAAGTGCTACAACAGGAGGCCACCCCTGCGGGCTACAATCAACATCTTAGATTATCAGGCTGCGCAACAACAAGAAGCCATCCTGTGGTTTTCCCATACAATCCCAATATCATCAGGTGCACACGGGAGCCGATCTCCCATCTTTCCACGGACCGACGGTCAAAATTTCATATCAATCATATTCAGGATCCATATCACACGACTCCTCAAAACCCATGGTGGTCCACGTCATCGTGACCCCCACACAAACAAGGCACAGTATATTCATAGCACAAGTAATCAGACAATTTTTAATATCAACAAATGGTGCATCATAATATGGCAATTCAACAAAATAATGCATGATAACATTTAGCCGCGAATGCATGAATGCAGGCGGATGATACTAGTTATCTAACACTACTCACAGTTCTTTATTGCCCTTTAAAGGACTATCTCTAATACTGCATCCTTCTAGCTTTTGTCTCACCATCCCGGAGCTCATACACATCTAGAAAGAAAATCCTGTATAAAAATCCTAACCTCATAAATATACTTTGCATTCGTTACCACTTTTATTTGTTTTCGTTACCCTCGTACTTCCGTCGGTTCACTAACTTATCAAACTAAACTGTAAGTATGCTATAGTGCAAAATCTTTTAATTTGATTTAAGTTCTTCTAATTTTATCCTTGAGTAGAACGTCTAATTATTTGGTAATTAATATTTTATGATAATACAATCAAAACATCAATATGAATTATATGATAACTAATATTAATAATGAAATATGCGATTGGGACTCACGATAATATTCATAACATTAATAACCTTTAGTCGGTATTAATTCCTGAACACATATAAACTTCCGTTCATCTTGTTTATTTAGTTTATTTATTTATTTGTTTATTTATCACTCTCTCATAATCTTATTCTATATTTTTAATTTCTATGAATAATTTAAAGTATTTTAATTTCTAAAATAAAATTTATTTTCTACTGACTTTTCGGCAGCATCCCCCCTCAAAATTGGATTATCCACCTGTTAAAATGTCAACATTATATCAATTAATTCCAAACCACATAGCCCATCCATCAGGCAATCAATCCAATCAATAAATCCTATCCTCCACATTTTCCCGTACCAACATACATTTATAAATTTTCTTTAATTCCATATACTCGACTTATCTGACTCTTCAATTAATTTAGTTTAATATCGTATTAAATTTTAACTAAATATTTTTATTAAATTAATAAATCAACACTACTTACTTTTAATTTAACTAAGCAATAGATCAATACTAAAATTAAATTAAATTAATTAATCAAAATTGCTAAAATAAATTAACTAATCAAGATTACTAACATTAATTTAATCAACTAAAATTACTAAGTTAATTTATACCCAAAATTACTAAATTAATTAACTACAAATAATAAAATTAATTTCATTAATTAATATTACTTAACTCCTATAATAATATTAATCAACTACGATAATAAAATTAATTAACTACAATAATAAAATTAATTCAAGTAATTAAAATTATTAAAATTAATTTTTTGTTACCCCAAAATATAATTTCTGTCAAAATTGTGCTAGATCGGAAACTTGTTTGTGCCGGATCCGAGTTACATGCGTCGGAAGTGCCGGATCCAACTGACAATGGCAATGGAAGGCGATGGCGGCGCGATCTGGTGGTTGAAGACTCACTGGAGCTGCAGCAGGCTGGCGATGGCGCGACGAGGTGGAGGAGCAAGCGGTGGCGAGCGGCTCTGCTGCAACAAGAAGCGGCGGCTCTGCGTTGCCTCTGTCGAATGCAAAAACGCAGAAGAGAAGGAAAAGGTGTGAATACCCAAATTTTGAGGCTCAAAGAGCCAGTTTTTCCGGACTGCAAACAGTGAAGGAAAGAAAAAAAGGAAGAAGAAGAAGAAGAAGAAAAAGAAGAAGAAGAAGAAGGGAGGAAGCAGTGGCTGGGGAGGTTGTCGGTTGCAACTGGGAGGCGCAGGACTCAATGAGTTGAGGGAGATAAGCGTTGAATATAGAGAGGGAGGAAGTTTCTAGATTTTTGGGTCGAACCGGTTCGGAAATTCGATTCGATTCCGGCCCAATCTTTGGTTTTCAACTGTTTTTTCGGCTTTTTCAAATCGATTTTTCCGTTCGGTTTCTCACAGTATTACGCACTAAAATATTAATATTAATTTCCAAGCTGTCGGTTCATTAAATTTTAATTGGATAATGTTTTGAAAATAAATTTCAGGTGTATTACAATCTCCCCCCCTTAGACATTCGTCCTCGAATTGAATCTAATGGAAAGAATAAGAATGGACGCAATGGAAAGATCTGGTAAAGGCTTATAAAGGAATTGCTTCCAATACCAGGAGACAGCTCAAAAACGAAATACAGGTCAACGGAATAAAGTGAGAGTGGGGTATTCTGATTGTAAGTCTACCGCTATAGGAAGCTTTAATTACTTAATCTCCAAACTATCATATCGACAGTTTGCTAGAAGAAATCTTTCTTTAAATAAAAATCTTGCAAATTAAACAGTTTTATAAATAAAAGGCTTAATACATATATTTTTTTCAAAATTAAATTTATACACATTTCTTTATGAAAACCAAATTAATTTGGCAAAAAGCAAGACAATTTGAAATTCTTTATTTAACTAACAAAATAGAAGCTTATTTAACGTAATACTAGATAAATAAGATCGATGACTATATGTGGGGGTGGGGGGGGGGGGGTTATGACTAAATCTTTTTCTTACTCAAAATGAAAAAAATGTTACCTTAAATCCAAAATTTTAAGAAAAATTTTTCTTATAACTCTCGTTGTCTATATATATATGGTTAACTCGAGCTCACTCTAAAATCAGTTCCTTTTAATA